GTGTGGGACATCCAGGGTGATCCAGAGTGCGAACAGTGAGTTGTGTGGGCGCCCAGTCGCCATAGCCAGTTGAAGAGAACTCATATCTGGTTACGATATCTTGAGTATTGTGTGGGCGCATGTCGCCAGTTGCTGTTTCGCTGTTTGCATACATGACAGGTTGAATAATCAGAAGTGTGATTTCACTAACCTGTGAAGGCCACATCGAAGACGAAGCTGAAGCTATGGCATCTCCGGTAAGCTCCCACGCCAGTCTCCCTGGCCTCCGCCACTCTCCTCCCTCTCAGCACTACTTCAAGGTCCTAACAGCACCCAGAGCTGAAGACTACTATCGTCATCTACTACTACTACTACTGCAGCGCTCCGCAGAGTGCTGCTGCCGAATCCTGAAGACGGCCTCCTGCTTCCTGAACTGCCTACTCCCTCCTGGGCAGACCAGTACTATATAGTGCTGGTCCGGCTGGGAGGAAGTTCAAAAAAAAAGGTATCTTAAAACGGGGCTAAAAATGGCCTGCGCTTATCCCTGGTCTGGCACCGAAGTTTCAGGAAAGGTCGACATTTGCCCTCCTTTTTAGGAGGAAACGACACAGGGCCTCGAGGGCCCTTATCCCGCCTGGTCACCTCGTTTTCCCGGGCGAATTTGAGGATGGAAGTGCAGTTTCCTCAATTTTCAATTCTCAGAAAGGATGCAAGCTCTGGAATTCCCCAACGGAAAACGCAAAACCCGGAAATGTTTCCAAAATTCACAGATAACTGAGAAAAGCTAGGCTACCTGGTCGGCTGACCCGGTCACATTGTTTTCCTGGGCGGCCTGGCCGTGCAAGGACCAGGGAAGGTCCCGGCAAAAAACAAAAATCCAAAAAAAATCCAACAAATGGTTTAAAAATCTGGAAAAGAACTATGTGATGCAGAAAAATAACTGAACAACTTTTGCGTCAGGGTCACATCAAAACTCTTCACCAAATTTAAACTAAATTTACTAAAATATACATCTGGGCTACCAGAGTGGCCGGGGCCACTTGCCCGGCCGGGCCAAAAAAAAAAAAAGTAATTTTTTATTTGATTTTCTATTTTTAATTTGGTAAAGAATTTCAATGTGACCCTGAGGCAAAAGTTGTCCATTTTATTTGTCTGCATAACTTTTTTTTTCGTTTTTTTTTTTTTTGCTGGGACCTTCCATGGTCCTTGCACGGGTGGGCCGCTGGTAGTCTAGCAGAATTTTTTATTGTTTACTTTAATTTGGACCATTTGTCAATTTATGCGTGTCATCCTTGCGCAGGGGGCATGCTGATCTTCTCTGTACTGTTCCAATTTTAATTACAATAGAGAGAATTTTGCAAAAAAAACAAATGGCTAATGATTGCTAATCGCACAGAAAAATCAAATTCCAAAATTTGCAGAAAAGAGAAAGTTTCCAACTGCCACTGGGCAGCCAACCGGGCTGTCCAGATTGCCTCAGAATGGCCAGGGTGACCCGGACAGGCCAGGGCCGGGCAAAGTCCCGGTCAAAGTCCAATACAGCAGGCAAACAAAAGACAGTCAAAAGAACCTATAAAAAAAAAAAGTACATGACGGGGAATTGCAATGCATAGCAAACAACTTTTGGCGGAGGGTCATCCCAAAATTCATTATGAAATAGTTAAAACAAAACCGTACACTACATCACACCCCTTCAAGCCACTTTATACCCCCCGAATGCCCTTCGAATTCCACTTATACCCCATAAACAACCTTTGGTGTGACATCACCAAATTCAAGGATAAGGCCAAATTCGGGCACATCTCAGTGGGCACAAAACTGCCCCGCTGACTCTTTTTTTTTGTTTAAACCACCAATACCTCGCCCTGCTTGGAAAATCCGACCCGGCCGTTAATGCGCCGCGTCCGGCAGGGTACGCACCGACCGGCGGGG